AGACTCCTGAAAAAGTACAAGGTGAATAAGACCAGGTGTTCCGGAAGGGTAAACGTCTTCTGTTTCATCAACAACACCCACCATGTAAATCATGAGTCACTCTACATAAATTCCAAGATGGGAGCAATGTAAATAGCAACGAAACAATTAAGCAAACAAACCAGCATCAAACACGTCCAGTTTCATAGTGTACAAAGAAACAAAATTCAATAGGAGATGCCCTTAGTTTGCTGACTTTTGTTTCCATAAGAAGCTGCATTTATTGAAGAACTTATCTAAACAAATCACAAAGACCTTGCAAAATTGTCTTATTTCACTTTAAGGTATATTGATGACGCCGTGCCTTTAAAGAACAACAAGAGGTTCAAGGGCCTTAACCGGTCACCTGAGTCACAACGTTTCTTGTAATATGTCATATGAATGATTTTGTTTAAAAAAGAAATATAACTTTAAGAATGTTGTACACATAATGGAAATTTACAAATGTGTATACATTACCTGCTGTCTTCTTTAAATCAAGCTTAAATTAAAAGAAATTACACTCAAGTCTTGAGTTTTATATTTGAAATCTTCCATCAAGGAACAAAAGGACATCTTTGATATTTTAGTCAATTTGACCCCTTTTTTGCCCCTCCCAACATCCCCTCGGTGATGAATACATGTTAACATGCGGTTTACTGACGGGGTGTCTCTTCCTTAACAACCCTTAAACTTACGGCCCCTCATCCATATGTATTCATCACGGCGATGTGTGACGTCATCACTCACCGAATTATCGCCCCTGACACTTGCTGTGTTGGTCTTGACGACGTCATTGATGTTTTAGCTTTAGTAAAATTGGTAATTCGACTGGCGGGTTGGTTTTGAGGACGTCATTAGGTTTCGGCTGTACCAAGAGTGTACATATCCTGTTACACAACGGAATATGACTTTTATGGCGTGTATGATGTGTTTTGGCGTGTATTGTTACTATTTTGCATTACTACTATTTTACTGACAGAAAAGCATAAAATTATTGCATTTCTTTAAATTATCACATTTTCTATTTGCCAAATTTATATTTTCACACTTACACAATTATATTTTTAGAAATACGTTATGATGACAAAATTCGAACTTTTGCTTCTGTTTTGCTGTCGTTTGCTTCTGTTTTGCTGCTACTTGTTGCTATCTTGCTGCTTTGGTGCTGCTGTTTGCTACTATTTGCAAGAGTGTTTTAAAACAAGGAACAGACTTACCAGACTGTGCTTCTTCGGGAATGTACCTCATCAGTTATTGAGTAAAAGACACATACTAATATTTTGGTACAACAAGTACAACAAAAAACGACATCGTCCAAGTCGACAGCCAATCGGATATCATCCTATTTGATTTAAATCACCAGAGTCTACAACCAATCAGATTTCGACAAGAAAAGCGGCACAACATCTTCACTCTATCTCACGATTCACAGCAAAAGACTGACAGATTTCATTCATAACCATTAACATGGAGAACTACGACGATTGCCCAATAACTTATGTGAGTAAAAAAATCATTGATGCGACACATTACCTGAAGTACGTACATCTTTTTACCACATTTTATAACAAACTTTCAGCATAGATTTTATCTAGAGAGCATAATTGTCATAAATAAACAGTAACACAGCATTTCTGTCTCCTTTTCCCAGCGTGAATACACAACATAAAAATCGACATATCCGACAACGCGCTGGAAACGAAACAAACGGAGAGGATATTACTGATAACATAGTTACAGAAACAGACAGCAAGCAAAAGTTAAACCCAAACAATTGCCTGCTAAGCGTCGTGGACTACCGAAACTCTGTGAAAGCATACACACTGGGAAAAAACTATTTCGTGAAATTATTCCTGATACCTCATACAGTTACACTTGTAAAGAAATTTACCACATATTACGTATAAAGTCTCTGAACCCTGTCATACGTGAGGCTATTCATATCGGGCAAAAACGTTAACCTGTTCAATCACATTGGCGAACATATCTGCGCATCAGTTCACAATCCTTACGTGTGTGTTGACAACAGAAAGCTTCATGTAAGTAGCTTTAGCGACAACGTTGTACTAAGCAACCTTTTGGAAATACTACCAATTATCTAGCGTTTTAAAGCGATTCTAAGTGGATTTCACATTTCATAAAAATCTATCAAAATTGGTGCTTATGTAGGCTGCTGTTTACTGTTGTTTTACTGCTGTTTGTTGTTTTGCTGCTGTTGTTTTGCTGCTGCTGTTTGCTGTTTGCATGCAAAATACCAAAACAACAGCACACACCATACTAGTCATATTCGTTGTACAAAAGGATGTATTCACTCTACGGTACAGCCGCAATCTTTATGACGTCGTCAAAACCAACCTGTAAGTCGAAATACGTACTCATAGCTAAAAACATCAATAACGTCGTCAAAACCAACACAATTAGTGTCAGGGGCGACAATTCGGTGCGTGATGACGTCATATCTAGCCGTGATTAATATAATAGATGAGGGGCCGTATGTTAAGGCGGTTGCTAAGGAAGATACGCCATCTTGGATCCGTTGTTACTATCAAGGACAGTATCAAGGTCAACATGTGCATCTCATCAAACTGTCAGCTTATAAAAAACATTCTGACAAAGTTCGAACTATTTCTGAAAGAAAATAAGCAAATTGTGCTTTCAAATATAATTTTCCTATATAAAATAAATGCTGTCTCCTCTCTAAGGGGAAATATGGGACGCTGGGGTAATAAAATTCACAATTTTTATAGGAAACAGTACGACAGTTCCATTCATGAAGAGTAGTTGGTTATACACCAGATTTTTGAAATTTGACCCATTTTTGTGCCCGCCCAATAGCCTTTTGGGGTCAGCCGAGGTCAATAAGTGCATCTCATAAAACTGTCAACTTAAACTAATCATTTTAACCAGGTTTGAACTATTTTATAGAGAAAAGAATCAAATAATGTTTAAAAAATGTGATTTTCTTACACTAAATGGGGGAATTGTGAGACCCTTGGGTCATGAAATTTACAATTTTCGTAAGGCATTTTTGAACGCCTTTCCATCTATGAAGTGTATTAGATTTCTACCATACCTTGGAGTTGAGAAGATTTTTGAACTTTCAATCAATTCGACCCTTTTTGGTCCTGCCCCTGATGCCCCTGGGTGTTCAGGACCATGTGATTTAGCCATGAAATTTTACAAAAATCGTTTTTCAGAAGTCGAACATGTTAAACGTGGGTCGCAATAGACTGAGACTTTGTGTCAGATGATTCAAAAATTATTAATCAAGTCCATGGTAAGTACCAACTGGAAATCAAGGACAGATTCTTTTACATCAGCTGCTTTTCTCGATCTTCCTAAAACGAAACCAACAAGGACAGCTTTCCACCTAGTTTTATGATCAGCCCAACGATTTCAATTTCTCATTGTGAATTTTCCATCTCTGGATAGTAAATGCCATACATCCCCAACCTATGGGGTTTATATGTCGCAGTTTATATTCAATATGCAAGAGCTTATTCCCATTATAACGATTTTCGTATAAGACATCATCAGCTTACTGACAAATCGTAACACATGGTTTCAAAAGATTCAAAACGATGAAAATGATGAGGAAATTTTACAGTCGTCATAGTGATCTCATTGAGAAATATTCTTTTTATTGATGTGATAGGAAGCTAGACGTGTTTGATGCTTGTTAGCTTGCCTGTTAGTTCCCTGTATAATACCTAGTTCCTATTTAAGAACGTGACATTAATTACTTGGATTGACCGGGGTTTACATGGCGGATGTCGTCGATCGATCAGGAGACGCTTACTCTTCCGGAACACCTGGTTTTATTCTCCTTGTACTTTTTTAAAAAGATTTTCCATGTATATCTTTCTTTTGTTAATGTTTTGTACTTGTTTTATAGTATTTGAGCTTGGATTATGATTATGTTAACATATTGGTGTTTTCTTCTTGTTTTTTTTTTAATTAATCGATTTCAAGTAAGACCTAAAGTCATTTTAAAAAGAGGATATTTTTTTAGAAATCATTAGCTAAACCAAATATGTTGATAATATTAATAATGATTTTGAGTATATCAATTGATGACAGATAAATTGACGAGCAGTAGAAGGATGTATGACAGATACGTACATTATATAGATATCCAATCATGTATTGCGTTCTAATTTTTTTCAGAACAAATAACATAAACAAGTGTACAGACTCTTGAAAACGTATATAGTTAATTATGAATCAATTTATCGTCAAAACATTGTTGGCACATCTAAGAAAATACATGTTATCAGGTGAAAAGTATATCAGGTATATTAACTTCGATTAAAAACTAAACATTCAATAGATTAGAACGTCAGTAGACAGTCCTCGATCTCAACATTCAATAGATCAGAACGTCAGTAGACAGTCCTCGATCTCAACATTCCATAGATCAGAACGTCAGTAGACAGTCCTCGATCTCAACATTCAATAGATCAGGACGTCAGTAGACAGTCCTCGATCTCAACATTCAATAGATCATGACGTCAGTAGACAGTGCTCGATCTCAACATTCAAGAGATCCTTGAGGGACACCATGGGTTATTTTACAGGTGGTCGACATGTGGCCAGTAATGGAGACTGACTGTGTCCTATTGTCGAGATATGACTTGAACCACAGCAGACTATATCAAAGGCTTTTTAAAAAGAAAATAACATCTGTACAAAGACCATCATCAATGTTCTCAGCCCAGGAGGTATTTGTATAAAGTGTTATGAACATGTTTCTCTAAAAGTTTGGAGAGAACAGGTAAGACTGATATTGACCTATAGTTTTCAACATCAACAGTGCTACCATTTTTATGAAGCGGGATAACTTTAGCTATTTTCCACGGTGTAGGAAATTTACCTGTCTTTAGACTGATATTCATAAGGTGCTACTTCATTATAAACAATTTTCAGCAACTTAGCACTAATACCATCAAAACCTGTAAATTTGTGGACATCAAGGTACTTCACTCACACACCATTAGAACTTTTGCATCTTGTGTTTGGTTTATACGACGTCGTTTCCGAATCTTCAATATTTCCTCAACAGGTGGTGCCACAATGGCAATGACTCCCATAAATACAGTCCATGCCTGTGTAAGCCCTATCCAGACCTTGAATTGAGTTTCGTCGAGGGCAGGGAAGCTCGCCATGATACCGGGAATGACGAAGGTAAATAGAATTATACTGCCGCCTCCGCTGACGTATGCGATAATTCTGGTCCGACGGAAGGTGGTCGACATTTGATCAAACGACGGTTTCTTGTCGTACACTTCGTGTTTGAGCTCCTCCCGGTAATTCTGCTCCCATGGATTAAGTGGGTTATCAATATCGTACATTTTCTGCCACTCTGCATCAGCGTCGGCTTTCGTTTTAATTTTGTGTGTGAATGAAGACACTATAATACATACGATCAAACTGAATCCGAAACTGCTGCAACTTCCTGCCAGGATAGAGTACTCCTGTGATGTATTAACGACAAAGTTAGTGAGGCCTCCGTCATATCTTGTCGCAGCTATCAGTGTAGCAGCTATACCAGCCAGCAGTCCCGTCATACCACCTAAAACAGAAAGTTAGGCTAACACAAACACTGTTACTCTACCTTCCGAATATCTGTCGAAGGGAGATAACTCTTGTAATTGTGTATTAAGAGCTCAAGAACAAGTGAACCAAGAATAGATTTATGAAAAAATAAACATTTGGAAGATCAAGATCTTTAATTCCATTATAAGCATGAAAATTAATAAAACTAAGAACTGTTGTCACAATTGATTTACATAATGTATCGTTAGCATTGTATATCTATATCGCACGTTATTTAGGATGAACAACCACAGATATAGTGGAAAGAAGCTAGCCAAACGTGATGTTTATAGGACGCTAAATAATAGGTAAACGAAACCCAGTTCATTGGTCAAAGTTCGAAACTACTAACGATTCATTTATACATCATAGCTAATCAGCCTATATTTATATATTTTGATTTGGGAACGCGGTCTCACTACACCTGTAAAATAATACAGAAATAAACCGGCTAGCAGGCTATTGGAAATAACGGAAATAACAAAAATCGATGAAAATAAATCAAAATAATGATTGCTGACGATACAGTCTACTTGTTACAGTATATGTATATGATGCTACTGGGTAGTAACGTTCCCGCTTTACACTTCGGGTAATCTTCCAAATATATGTACCTTAGTGGATACCACACTCATACATATATCGTGTAATGTAGAAAGGAGACACATTTATTTGTTTGTATACAATAGGATACAATAGGATATTTTATGGACGCAGGCATTAAATTGCCTCTATATCCATATCATTAATGGTATACCGTATAAATTACACGGTATATTAGGTATACGACCTGCACATTATCAGTTATCATTGTATCATGATTGCCAATCAGTGGCCTTAATATGTTTATAAAAAAGAATAAAGAATGTCTTGTTGCAACATTTTTCTTCGGAGTCATTATTATATCATTGATGAAAAATGGGAACATGTTACCTTGACGATCAATGCACAGATGTTTTACCTGCAATTATCCCTTCAGGTGTTTGTTTTACCCACATAATAGCTAAAACAACAGCCGGGAAGGCGGGGATGGTGACGATCGAGCCGACGAAAAATGTCCAGTTAAGGTCTATACCACTGGAGAATATGATCAATCCGAAAGGTATTATACACACGGACACCCATACAATACACCAGCTCTTGAAGTCGATAAGGTAATCTTGGTACGTCCTAAACAGACCATGGACTGGACACTTATGTGTAGGCCGGCCACCATTCGCAGGTCTATTGGCAGATAGAATGTCTTCTGAGCACTGTTTGCAATTGATGGCGCTCGGACACTGACAGATATCTGCTTCCTCAGTCTCAATGTTGGGTTCTACCGTGCTGGCCTTGCCACACAGCACACAGTGGGCGGGTGGAACATTTCTCCTGAGGTTCAAGAAAAACAGTTTTGATAAATTTCTGTAGGTATTGTTATCCAAATAACAACGGATACAGACAAATTATTCTCAAACAAATGTTTGGAAATTATGAATTTTAGCCATCAGTATGAAGTAATATCATGTGATGTCATCTTATGAAGTAATATGATTCTGGGCATCGTCATATTTCTAAGATTTGGCAAAGGCATATTTTTATTTCAATGTTTCATATTTCACCCTCCAGCAAGGTCTATTATGGGCCCACAAGAATTTGAAAGGATATTGACCCGTTGTCTTGATAGTGGATATATGTCTCTTAAGTAACGTATTAAACGAGAGGTCAACAGACATGGCTTGTGACGGGTTGAAATGATGTTCCAATTTTTTGCTAGATTTATCATATTTCCAATACGTTAATAATATATAAGGATATAGCTAGAACATCATACTAATCGCTTACTACTTTTACTTAGATAAGATAACAGGGAATTAAGCGAGAAGAAACTGATATTGAACTTTTGATGGTTATTGACGAGACCCTTACGATCATAAAATGTTTTCAATGACATGAAGGGATGTGTATTGTTAACACCAAATACTTTACACCTTGATCAAGTGTGCATTGTTCCAAAGATCAAAGGGTACATTGATATGAATATTAAATGATATAAAAAGTACACTTTATCTATCTTTATCGGTTTATCTCTTTTCTTTGTTGTGTAGTAAACTTATATTCCATGAATTGGCCAGAGCATCAAGTTGTTTTCTATCACTACACCTGAGAATTAAATACTCAGACATACATAATATATTAAATCCTACATTCAGTACAAGTGTACAATGGACCTCAGACGTCATCCTGAAGAAATGGCAGTATAACGTGTTTCTAGTATCTCGATAAACGAAGTCGTCCATTTTCAAGGATAAATGCTTGTCCTAATCAATGCCATATAACGTACCAAAAGGGACGGACGTAGGCTTTGTTGATGTTGTAAATTACGGCGAGAACTTACCAATAGAGACGAATGTAGACTTGTGGTTGTTGTAAATTACGGCGAGAACTTACCGGTAGAGACAAATGTAGACTTGTGGTTGTTGTAAATTACGGCGAGAACTTACCGGTAGAGAAGAATGTAGGCCTTGTGGACGTTGTAAATTACGGCGAGAATTTACCGGTAGAGAAGAATGTAGGCCTTGTGGACGTTGAAAATTACGGCGAGAATTTACCAATAGAGACGAACGAGACTTGTGGTTGTTGTAAATTACGGCGAGAACTTACCGGTAGAGACAAATGTAGACCTTGTGGACGTTGTAAATCACGACAAGAATTTATCAGAAGGGACGAATGTAGGCCTTGAGGTTGTTGTAAATGACGACGAGAACTTACCGGATGGGACGAATGTTGTAGATTACGACAAGAATTTACCAGAAGGGACGAATGTAGGCCTTGAGGTTGTTGTAAATGACGACGAGAACTTACCAGAAGGGACGAGTGTGGATGCTGTAAATTACGACGACAACTTACCGGAAGGGACGAATGTAGGTCTGGTAGAAGTCGTAAACGATGATGGACGAGATGGCCATCACCTCTCCTGACCCCGTCGACATCACGGCCATGAACACCATACATAAGATCATGATGCCGCCAGCTGGTCCCAGAACTTTCTCGGCGACTAAAGGAGACACCAGCCCTATTGAAATGAAGATTGCGTTCGTAAATATCAGAAACCGTTCATTTTCCTACAAGAAGATGAATTGACTAAAGCACGACTGTGTCCTTTACCAATATCACACAGATAATGATATAGAAAGAACCAACTTCATGTTATGGGTTCATTATCAAAACAGTATGTCTTTGATGTCATTGGGAAATTTTATATTTCTTTGTGTGATGTAAAGCTGTACGTGTTTGATGCTCCTTAGTTTGTCTGTTGGTTTCTTTATTGTATACCTTGTTCTCATTTGGAACTGTGGTATAAGTACTTACTAGAAACGATCACTATATACATAGCGGGTCGTCGATGAAGCAGGGTCTTATTATCCTTGTACTTTTTAAAAAGAAAGTCTTACTTTTGTTCATATTTTGTTCTAGTTTATTGAATTTAAATTTGGATTATGATTTGATTAACATATTGATAATTGGTTGCACTTCACTAATCAGTCATTGCTGAGCGACAAGCAGACTAAATCTGATTCCAATCTTACCGCAAAACAACAAATATTTGATGGAATCAAAAATATGAGTTATGTTACCCTTTTTAAGTCCCGTAACTCTGGCAAATATGAACGGAATTTGAAGAATACCCATGTCATCCAAGATCATATTGATACAAAGCGAATACCAAATTTGGTTCAAACCAGATAGTAACAAAGATGAAGAAATTACCTGTTTAATGGATTTGAAATTCCCATGGCTGTGGGACTCATTCGAGATCTTTTGATATAGATCAATATTGCTATTTTGGATCGAATCGGATCCTAACACAGAAAACACAAACAAACAAACTTATTAAACAGTGTATACAGGAGAGGAGATAAAATAGATACCTTCATCAATCTGACTAGCAGTGAGGAGATGCGTTCCATTTTCGGCACTAAATGTCAGGTAGGCCATCCCCGTTGTGTTTCCGAGGGTGGAGGGGATAGCTATCCACATGAGACCGGCCAGTATAAACCCCCAAACTCCCTGCATTGGTTTGGCAGCAATTCTACTTTGCCATGCAGCCTGATCGCAGTAAACTATTGAAGATGCAACAAAAAACCCTACTATCCCATACACTATTCCACTTTCAGATTGGAAAGTCATGAAATTGTTGCCGCCCGATCCCTCAACACAAGAAACGATACTGTACATTTTAGATACATCACCTAAATTTGGAAATCCGCTACTGTTTGTGTAAAGAACTTCTGTAAAGAAAATAGTTAATACTACAAAAGCAAGACAAGCATTGAAGTAAGACACATAAAACGTTGTTCCTATTCCGCCAATCAGCGAGTAGGATCCAAATAAGGCGGCCATGACAAGAAGTGTATATTCATCTGATACGTTTTCGGTCAGTGATTGGATGGCTGTTTTTCCCGCCAACAATACCGCTGTCATGATAACAAAATTGGTGACGAGTGCAAAGCAGCAAAACACTATGTGGGCTTTCGTTCCAAATCTTGCGTGAATGATCTGTAAAGAAAACGGAGACAGGGTATAAATCAACTGCAAAATAGAAAAGTTTCAGGCGTACGTCCATTAAACAGCAAGTTTCTCTTTCAAAGTCATTTTTTGTTTCAGATGCATTGTTTCAAAAAGACATACCATGCTCTTACAAGCTTCTGATCACCCATCCCCATTTATCAATATCCCTTGTCTTCTTCCATTAATTCCACCAGTAATAGTAATGGGACTCTATACAGAGCGTTCATGTGATATCATGCGATTTATTAAAGACATTTCTTGTACCTGAAGGTAAGTTTTGGCTCCAGGTGCGCGTGTCTTGAATTGCACAGAGAAAACAGGAAATATGAAGATGTTAATGATCACTCCAACTCCATACCAAAATGTTCCCGAAATGCCAAGCTGCAAAGAACAATACAAGATTTTATTATTTTCTGTGTGTGTGTTTTCGCTGATGTTATCGGTGAGATTGTCAAACAGAGAGATAAAATGGTCAGTCCCTAATTGTGTCTCTATAGAAAGTGAAGCTGAAGTTTTAAAAAGTCAAAAGATTAATTCTTGTGAAAATGCTTGGTAAATGGTGTTAGGCTGTACGTCAACAGACATCGTAAATGTTGACATATTTAATGATACGCAGTGGTTAGTAAAATAGGCACTGAAACATATAGGGGATATCGACGTAGAAAAAACTCTTGGAATTCAGATCCTTCAAAATATACAATTAAATACAGGTCAATCTCTATTATATCAAGCTCTCAAAAAGTGAGCCGAGGTATTTACAACCACTTTTTCATTAATATTACCAGATCTCATATTGTACACGGAAAAGGATTGGATGGGTTACACAGGGGTTTTCCTTAGATATTTTTTGTGTTTGCTGTTTATTGTCGTATTTCATGTAAATTGGATCACTCAATACGATGTTATGAAACAGATCTGTTTACTACAATCGCCATTGTAGGTTAAATTATACTCAACAAAAGATAAACGCACAACCGAATCATGCAATCAATAGCCTATGCTATTTTGCATAAGTTGCGCAAATATATATATGAATATGAATTGACAAGTCTACTCTTTACAATATACAAAGTATACAAGTGGTGTCAGAGGTGGCCCAACATAAGGTCGGCGCGCAATGTTTCTCTTGGCACGCAAGCCGTTCCTGGCAGTTTGAGCGCTAATGGATCTGCCATGGGCACTTAAGGTATGGGACACAGTCTCCACATCAGTCTTGAATTTGTCGCGCAATGCGACAATCGAATCGCACCGTTTTGTCATGCTGTCGTTACATGCGGACGATCGCTTCTGGGACGATCGGAAACTAACCCAGTAGCATGGAATGGTATATTGAGACGGATAATTGTCACGGTGCAATGCCAAACTGCCGTACAACAGCAGTTAGGCTAAGACCATCCATCAACATCTCAATTGCGAAATCAAAATGCCAACGTGAAAAAATTAATGTGGCTGAACTTAGAGTATCTGTGGAAATTATTCACATTAAATATCCTGCTTGGCTTGATTATGCTGCGTAATTTGGACTTAAGAAGCTTACAAAATCAGACAATGACATCGTCACGCTTGCCTGATTTTAGGGTATATTGTCGGGAAGAGAATCATTTTTGATGTAATATCTGAACAGATATTCCTGTATTGTATTACAGCTGAGGTGTACTGCACGAGATAACTTTGTGCGTTTTTTTTTTTTTTTTAGTACATATACCTTTCTTGTGGTTAAACTTGCCTTTGTTGCCAATGTGGCACTCTGAAGAATGTCGGCTGGCCAGAACATCTGTGACGCCACAGTGACAGCCGTCAGACTGAGAGTAATATCTCCTCCGGCGTCAAACGTAGTATCCAGGTTGCGTTCATCATGGAATATGTGTTTCCTAATGGCGTTGTGCACAAGAGCAAGAATGAGCGAGAATCCTCCAAACCCGAGGAGTATTAGTAAAGCTGACTCGTGCTTCGCTAGAACAGCAGTTGGTCTGAAGACAAATTATTTTAGTATTGATCTGCTTTCATTTGGCATTTATGAACAGAATGGTGTTTTATTTCTGTTGCTTCGTATGAAAAAGTGTTACATATTCTTCGAGCTCACCGTTATGAAACAAGAATAGATTGGGGGTCAGTTGGTGGTGAAACTCCATACCCCTTGCCACGAAATGAACGGACAAACTATACCAAACACAGTGACAAGGGATCTTCGACAAGGACATAACCCTGTCAAGGTATGATTTAGTTATTTTTTCGTAAACTGTTGCTTTGCTTACCTAATCTAATTCCCAGTTTGCCTGTTTGAATTCCCTATCTCGGACAATACCTATGTTTCTATTATGCCCACAAGGTACTTGGCAATAACTCTCTTCATGTTTTTATGATAAAGTTTTTTTTTTTTTTTTTCGGTCTTACGTCAGCTTCATTTTGTCTGCTTAATCCTGGACAGTAATCTATTGCCCGCCGGATTTCCGTGTTCCATTCTGGAACTTTTTATTTCTTTGGAAGAGTTCGAAGGATAAGAAGCATGAAAATAAACGTGTTTTAATCCACAATTAATGTATTCATACGTCAATTGGCAGTTATGAGATGGTAATGCCCAACTACATGCGGCACAGTCAAAGTGGGAAATATATGTTAACAAATAGTTGATTTTTGACTATTGTCAGAGTATTTGGTATGGAAGTGTTGTCTCGTCGAAAGAAATTGTTCCACATAGCACTTGCATAATATATATTTAGGTTTAAGATGGGTATGGTAGTACACAAAGTATAAAGATTGGAGAATTCTGGAAATATATCTGATTGGTCAAAAATGATACGTTTTACCAGCAATCTAGTTGTCACCAATATATCATAATAAATCTAATCCTGACGCAAAACTACGTTGAATAACATTTTGGGCAAGAATTGTGAAGTGAGTGAAGGATTGCAAAAAGACCTAAAAGGAATCTAAAATCGCAACCCATTGCAAATTGTACAGAAGACACACAAATGTATAATCACCTTACTCGTTAGTTTGATTGTTGGTTCCGTGATATTATACATTGTTTTGATTAAGAACATGACATTTCTTACATGGATAGACTAAGGTTTTCATGGTGGGTGTTGTCGCAGCAGTGGATGACGCTTACTCCCATGGATCACCTGGTCTGGTTCTCCTTGAACTTTTTTCAGGAGTCTCAGTGTAAGTATTTCTTTTGTTTATATTTTGTCCTAGCTTTAGTGAATTTTAGTTTTGACGACGATGATGTTGACTATTTGGTATTTGTTTTTGTTTGATTTAGAGTTACATACATTAAAGCAAAACAATGAAGTAAACTGCATCATACCGCTGTTTCGTCCTTCTAGGTCTCGTGAATCACAGCTTTATATCCAAGTACTACTCATAAGTTAGTGCAAGCAAGAATGGTAAGTAAAAGTATTGAAATAACACATGAAAGGATTTCGAGAACAAAATCCATTGCAGCTTTATGTCTAAGTATTACTTACTACTTTTTGGGCATTTTACAGCTGCTTATTCTACAGTACAATTTTCAGGTTGATTATCCTACTGATATTGTGTGGCAAAACTGGATCTTTTTCTTCTTCGCTTTTCTTTGTATTTGGCATGCTTAGGACCAACTTATTTTGCTCATATCTTCAAATGAAGATTTCAGATCTCCCTTTGGGTTACAATCTTTAGTTTAAAGTTTAAAGTATAAGGATGCTGTCTCTTCGGATAGAGGGTTTTCAGCAGCGATAAAAAGGAGAAACTGGATATCACGAGAGATGAAAGTAAATGAGTTTGATCCAAATGTGACGGATCTTTATTGATGGTGCAATGTAGTAGTTTGCAGGGATAGGTACAGGACATGCTTTATTTCAACAATACATGCTATTTTACTTCAGGAACAAGGAAATAAAAACAGAATGACCATTTAAAATGAAATTCAATAGAACTAGGACAAGAAATGAAATGAAGAAAAAATTTGCAGGATAACGACTGAAAAAATAAGACCAGATGTTCAGGAAGAATAAGCGTCTACGGCTTCTTAGACATCACCCGCGATGTAAATAGTGATTTCAAACCAAGTAAGCAGTGAGAACAAGATAAATAACAACGAAACCAATAGACAAACCAACAAACATCTAACAGGCCCAGTCTCATATTGCATGAAGAAATAGAATTATTCTAATTAAGAATCACTTTGACGACCGTAAAACTTCCCCATAATTTACATCGAACTGCATCTCTGGAGACCATGTTTACGCTAGTTATAACGAATTTGGGTATGAACTAAGAATTTACCTACATGTCGGTAGTTTCTATGCTGTTTATGTAGTTTTGGTATTAAAAATATCCTTATTTAGATAAAAGAAATATATACAGGGACTTCCTCAATGTATTTACACGATTTAGTATAGTTCATATACAAGTGCTAAGGGCAGAAATATTTAATTTAGTGCTTACTTTTGAGTTTCAAATGAACTCTAATGTATCACTGTTCATCTTGGTGGTATAACTTTTTACCTCTTTCGGATGAAAATAAAACTTTTAAGATGGTACAAAAGACACACAAATGATTAGTACATTTTAATAACTTAGTGATAATATGAAAAGCCAAAATTCAGGCAGTGAGTGCAGCAGTAACATAGATAAATTTCGTAATTTTCATATATCAGAAATTTTAGCATGATAGCATTTTAGAACAGCGTCAAGTAAATGTTCGGAACCGTGCCTCTATTTGTTGTTTTAACTTTTCTAAACATTTGTACATCTTAAGTATATATTTCTGTTTTAAAATGGCACGAATAAGCTTTCATAAGAACACGTGTGAAATGAAGAATTGATGTTGAAATAAAGACATATTCATGTGAACAAGTAAGATATTAATAAAGCATGAACAATAAAGAAAAATATAGATATAACATACTGCATGGTTCCATTTGGAGTGTCCAAAACAACAGGACAGTCTGTGGTATTGATCACCGCCCTCACAATTTGCACCATGCCTGTGGCACCAAATAGATATAATAAACTCCTCTGAGCCATGCTGCTTCTGTTACAGTAGGCAAAACAGCTGACTGATCTTCTGTACTGACTTTTGATGTCTTACACGCCGATCATATATGGGGTTTATTATATCACTTTACGATAATATATTTCTAATCACGCTATTATTCAAAAACGTATTATGGTTCATGACGTAGGTCTTGGTAACCCGTTTAACTAATGTTAACGTGTTCCCTACTGAATATGACCTGTCTATTATCAAAATTAATGTCTTAAACTTACTTGATGTAGCAGAGCTTAATAGATACTTTAAACCTGAAACCAGCAACGTTTCATCCATTTAAACGCTGCTGGAAGCGGCCAAAATATTTTTTCATTTATAATGTTAACCTGCTTTATTTAAGTAAAAAATCCATGATCGCATTTTATGTAGTGGAATAGAAAACCTTATTATTTCTGATAGATGATTTCTGAGAAGATCCGAGTAGGTTGATAATCCTGATAATTTTCAATTGTTTCCTTGTAAATATGCTTACAGTCACTGATCCGATAAGACCATCAGGCCCTGATCAGAGGCGTACATTTCCCAGCAGTCCATATAGCGATAGTCTTGACCTAATGAAAGAAAAACAAGCTGCAATTAACTTGCCTGCAAGGAAAACAAAGTACAATTAACAAATCGAACTGTTTAACCAACTTCATTTCAATCGTCAATTGAACTATAATCGACCGCAATTGTGGTTTAAGTGGACACTATACGTCTCAAAGATAACCAAGACGAGTTCAGGTGTGTAGATCATGTGACGTAAACAAAATATCACGTGTTCTTGTCCTTTGGTGACTGGGTCCATTAAGATTGTTGTTTTACTGTCACTAACATTTACTATTATGGATTTGTATTCATTGTCAGCTTAAGTAAATGTAAACATGATGGATGTAACGACAGGAAATTGGTAGTGTACAATGATAACTCAACCATCATTATATCGAAGGTTAACATTGTTTTCAACCAATAAACCACACATAAAGATGTCCAAGATGGCTGTACGAAGTCGATTCCTCTTCATCCTGAACGTGATTCCCATATTTATGCTGGTGGTCTCCTGCGGTAAGTGAATTGACAATATCTTCTTTTTATCAGTATTCACCAACATCAACAGTAAACATACCAAATAGCAAGTAAAATAACATCAGGCTATATATTTACACGACGGGAATCCTACAATGAAGCTGTACAGTCTTTCACTGTACCAGTTTGATTTCTTGTAGTGTTGTAGTTTGTTTAGATTTCTACACGACCATTCTTTTGTTTCAAAAATATGTTTCTCTGAGGATGATCTAATAACGTCTAGATTAGTAATTATTTTGGAACTAACAGAGGGAAATATCCAGCTCTAATGTAGCTTCATTCATCACAAGAAGGGAAAAGATCTCATCTTCGAAAAGAAAGCATTTGTTCAGTAGCCGTAGACAATGACAAGTTGTCGGCAAACTCTAAATGATTTATCCGGGGTTATGTAGAGTCCCGTTGTACACTGATCACTGTAAATATATGTTATTTTTTGTGTATCGTGACTTATTCTAGTTCCATTTTAAACTGATCACTGTAAATATATGTTATTTTTGTGTATCGTGACTTATTCTAGTCTCGTTGTACACTGATCACTGTAAATATATGTTATTTTTGTGTATCGTGACTTATTCTAGTCTCGTTGTACACTGATCACTGTAAATATATGTTATTTTTGTGTATCGTGACTTATTCTAGTCTCGTTGTACACTGATCACTGTAAATATATGTTATTTTTGTGTATCGTGACTTATTCTAGTCCCGTTGTACACTGATCACTGTAAATACATGTTATTTCTGTATATCGTGACTTATTCTAGTCCCGTTGTACACTGATCACTGTAAATACTTGTTATTTTTATGTATCGTGACTTATTCTAGTCTCGTTGTACACTGATCACTGTAAATATATGTTATTTTTGTGTATCGTGACTTATTCTAGTCCCGTTGTACACTGATCACTGTAAATACCTGTTATTTTTATGTATCGTGACTTATTCTAGTCCCGTTGTACACTGATCACTGTAAATACATGTTATTTTTTGTGTATCGCGACTTATTCTAGTCTCGTTGTACACTGATCACTGTAAATATATGTTATTTTTGTGTATCGTGACTTATTCTAGTCCCGTTGTACACTGATCACTGTAAATACCTGTTATTTTTATGTATCATTACTTATTCTAGTCCCGTTGTACACTGATAACTGTACGTGTCTATTATATTAGATAGAATATTAGTCGTTCTAGCACATTTTATTTTATCAAACACGATTCTAGTACTATAGGTAGCCTTGCCAAGGAAGACACTTCTTGCTTTTGAGGACTAAATATAAATAAAATTTACACTCAGAATGTTTACGGAGTAAACCGCCAGGCAGGGTTTGTTTTAGGCGGAGTTGTCCTGGTGGCAACTGTTAGAGGTCTCTATGAATAATATAAACACAATCAGAACAGACTGGTCTGCCTTACCTTCCTGAGAAACACAAACCGCCAGAGAGCGTCAAACCACGCAAATCTGATCTTCACCTGAGATGTAACCCAGCGTAATGTCCCCTCCTTATCAAGGTTTTTATACATAGATCATTATGTAGCTTAAATCTACATGTTTTATCATCACCGTTATACGATAGCTTAGATTACCGATGTCCCCTCCTTATCAAGGTTTTTATACATAGATCATTATGTAGCTTAAATCTACATGTTTTATCATCACCGTTATACGATAGCTTAGATTACCGATGTCCCCTCGGTACCATGACTTTCATACATATATCATTATGAAGCTTAAATCTGCATGCTTTATCATCACCGTTAAACGATAGCTTAGATTACCGATGTCCCCTCCGTACCATGACTTTCATACATATATCATTATGAAGCTTAAATTTGCATGTTTTATCATCACCTTTATATAGCATAGCTTAGATTACCGATGTCCCCTCCGTACCAAGGCTTTCATACATATATCATTATGAAGCTTAAACCTGCATGTTTTATCATCACCGTTCTACGATAGCTTAGATTACCGATGTCCCCTCCGTACCAAGGCTTTCATACATATATCATTATGAAGCTTAAATCTGCATGTTTTATCATCACCTTTATATAACATAGCTTAGATTACCGATGTCCCCTCCCTACCAAGGCTTTCATACATAAATCATTATGAAGCTTAAATCTGCATGTTTTATCACCACCGTTATACGATAGCTTAGATTACCGATGTCCCCTCCGTACTAAGGCTTTCATACATATATCATTATGAAGCTTAAATCTGCATGTTTTATCATCACCGTTATACGATAGCTTAGATTACCGATGTCCCCTACGTACCATGACTTTCATACATATATCATTATGAAGCTTAAATCTGCATGTTTTATCATCACCTTTATAGCCCATAGCTTAGATTACCGATGTCCCCTCCGTACTAAGGCTTTCATACATATATCATTATGAAGCTTAAATTTGCATGTTTTATCATCACCGTAATACGATAGCTTAGATTGATATTAGGTGGTCTGCCGTTACTAACCATAATCAGTGATAATCAACATCAATGTATTCTATAGGGATTGTACCACACATAAGTCACATTCTAGTAAAACCTCGTATACAGTGTGTGTAAACAAGTGTACTCTACCTTGTTAATCAGAATTAAATACAACAAACGACTTTTAGATTACTAGGATTCCGTGTTTTGATAGTGGTATTGATATTATTGATTGCTTTTAATGCATTCCTAGATATAGCAGAATAGTGGTTCGGTACTTATAACGATTGTCTTCATAGGAATATAATGCCCTCGTTATCTGTCCTGGACTACGTGCATTGTCACACATTTATTATCAATATATGTATAAATGTGTATGTCAACATATAGACATGCTTTATCTTAAGAACCTCTATTATATACGCAATAACGGGCTTATTACAGCTTATGTTCTATGCTTTCTCATTCTTTTACACGGGGTTGAATAACCTTAAATAACACTGTCATTCGAGATGTTTGTATATCAACAGCTAGACGTAAATTGTGGTTGAACTGCTACACGTAAATGATATAGAATGGTCGTATTGTATTATATTTCTAATTAGCGAGGCATTTCATTAATCGCTGTTGGATATTATACATCTGAGCGTCTGAATAACAGTATTGGTCGATGTGAGGTGTTTATAACAAAAGAAAAAACAAAATCCGGAAACATGCATTTGGTCGTAGTTTCACGCCATTCTAGAAACATCTAAATATGAGGAAAGTTTTACATAAATTTGCACTGCAGATAGGGCGTGATATCTGTCGGGATACACTGTACCGATTGTATATTTCATAATAAGCGACCTGATTTCTTCTCTTCGGGATACGTATACAGTAGTGTATTTTTGTTGATATACTGATTTTATAAACGTGTTGCGATTATTCCACAATGTCTCAGATTCACTTGGTGTTAGGGAAATATCACACAGGAAGTACTTCTCATGTAGTGTATATTAATACCTACACTTATTGCTTAGTGTTTATTATGGCGGGTATCTACATTACAGCAGGAAAAAGTTCCACCAAAATAAGAAAGAAGAGGAAACTCAGGAAAATCACGCCTTTAACAGAAGTTTGATATGAACCCTTGTGGATAAAGGATATCAACAGTAACCACCTTACATTTAAGGGGTATTCCCTTGATAAATACTATGCTATCGATATGACTTAAAAATAACGAAGAAAATATTGTCATATTAACGGAATCATAACAAAAACCCAACTGAGGCAAACTCTGACAAAAGAAAGATTTAATGAGAAAGAGGACAAAATTATCACTATGAAAAAAACAAGGGGCAGTAACTCTTCCACATACTCTCGAATAAAATTTCCGTTTTTGTAAACATAATTACATGTCATGGTGATTAAATAAATTTGAAAAAGATCAGTTGAAATCTGAGAAAGGAAATATCCGGATAATATTAGCATT